TTTATTTATTAATGATTTCATTTAGTGTTTTATGAAACCTTTTATAGTTAATGAAAGGTTATTTTTGCTAAGCTTTCTAATATTCTACATGCCATTTATCAGAGTTCATAAACCTGTGCAGACATGGGCTCTTCTTCCTTATGTTGGCAACTGAAAGCCACAAGCTAAGACGACAGTTAAGTGACATTTTATAACTTGTAACTACTAAATAATGCAACTTTCAAAGGCGTTTCTCACTGAGGCTATTGATATTGTTACGGTAGCTTTAAAAACCAGATTGGAAGCAAGAGATTCATTTTCTTGTGTGGGTTTGGAAGCAATTCCAAAAGGCAAACAATGAAACTGCATTATAGAATAATGATCCGCCCTCCTAGAGCCCCTACTTTGAAAGTTAAGCCACTCATTAAGATGCACAATTCTAGGATGTTTATTTTTTTAGTCTTGTTTTATACTTGCATCTTATTTTGAATGAATGAAAAACCAATTATTAAGCAAGTTTTTGTTGTTGCTGAATTGTGTCTGACACTTCATGACCCCATCTGGATTTTTCTTGGCAAAGATACTGCAGTGGTTTGCCATTTCCTTGTGTAGCTCATTTTACAGATGAGGAAACTAAGGCAAACAGGGTTAAGTGATTTGCTAAGGTTCGCACAGTTATTAAGTGTCTGAGGCCAAATTTGGATTCCGATCTTCCTGACCCCTAAAGCCCAGTGCTCCACCTAGCTGCCCCCATTAGCCATGCTTACAGAGTGTTGAGCACTGTGCTAGGTGCTAAGAAGACAACTACAAAGATCAGATAGCCTTTGCCCTCAAGGAATTAACAAGATAATAAGGGAAATCAACAATGCAGAGCCCTGTGTTGGGCATCTATTAAAAAGCATCTCTAATAATTTCTTCCTCAGTTATGGCTGCTGGGACTGGTGTGGAAGCTGGAGTGGTTTTTGGAAGGACATTGCTGCTCCCAAAGCTCCTGGGCTCAGAGTCCTATGATGCATCCATCAGGGTCTGAAAAAAAATAATAATAATAATGGTCATGGTGGTGGTGCTGCTTGTTTGATACGCCTAGCATATGCTACTTTTTGTCTCTTCCTCTGGGTGCCTTGCTGCTTTGGGGACAGACCCAAGATTTTAGGAGATCTCATTTTAAAGGTAGGTTTGTGTAGCCTAAAATTCTACAAGGGAAGTAAGTTCAGGAATAAAATTTTGACAATTCAATGAGAAAGAAAAAAAGGAGTTATCTAGATGGGCTCAAATGAATATGTAAGGAACTCTCTTAGATCTAGAAATACTTCTACCAGTTCTATCCCCCCAAGGAGATTAAAGAAAGTGGGAAAGGACTTACATGTAAAAAATATATACATTACAGCTTTTTTTTTATAGTAGCAAAGAACTGGAAATTAAAGAAGGGTCAACCAACTGAGGAATATGATATATGAATGTAATGCAATACTGTTGTACCGTAAGAAAAGACAAAAGGAACCATTTCATAGATACCTGGGAAGACTTTCATGAAATGACATAGAATCAAGTGAACAGAATCAGGAGGAATATTTATACAACATTGTAAATACAAACAATTTTGAACTCCTTAAGAACTCTGATCAATGCAGTGACCAGCCATGATTCTAGAGGACCAATGACGCAAGATACTACCCATCTCCTGACTCAGGATGCAGAATGAGGCATATATTTTTAGACATTGCCAACTTGGGCATCTGTTTTGCTTGATTATGTATATTTATTATAGGATTTTATAATAGGAGGTGGGGAAGGAGGGAGAGAAAATAAATTTTTGTTAATTAAGAAAGAGAAATGAAGGTAATATAAAAATAAAAACAATTAAAAAAAAAGAAAGGAAAGGTTTGCAAGGAACTCATTGACCAATTTAGATTTTTAAAAGACATGTACTATATAACCTATATCAAATTTCTTACCATTTTAAGGGGGCGAGAAGGGTGAAATTTTAGGACTCAAATTTTTTTAAATGAATGTTAAAAATTGTCTTTACATTTAATTGGAAAAAATAAAATACCATTTATTAAAAAATAAAATAAAAGACACGTACATAAGATGGAAATAAGTACAACTAACTTAGAGTGAATAAGAACAAGTGGCATGATACTATAAGAATGTCTGGAATATCAAATCCCAGATGGAATGGAAACTTACGATGAATGCTAAGGACAACAAAAATGCCCTTTAGATATATTGGGGACAATAGAAAGATTTTTTTTAAAAAAAGGATAATTGGATTACTGATAGGATAAGGTAATGATAATGGCTGACCAGAGAAATAGCAGAACTATTCAACACCTCTTTTTGTTGTCATGTAAGAAGAGGGAGGAGACTTGCTTTACTTGGCTCTGGGGGCAAGAGATGCTAGCAGCAGATAGAAGTTGCAAAGTAGAGAATTCAGCTGAATGTAAGGAGGAAAATCCCTAACCACGAAAAATGCCTCCAAGTGGAATGGTAGCTAGTCTTGGTAGATAGTGAATTTCTTATCACCAGAGTTTTTTGAGCAGAGATTAAATGACTTTTGTTGGGGTACTCTAAAACTGGGGTACAAGTTGGATTAGATAATTCCTGAGTTTCCTTCCAACTATGTGATTGTATCATTCTGTAATTTTATAAATTTGGAATATAAGCATATATTTAAGCTATGTTCTATTGCAGTGAGAATACCTTTGTTAAATTTCTTATTTTTGCCGTGAATTTACTTTTTAAAAAATTCCATACTAATTAAACTTCATCTTAATTTTGCATATGAGGCCTGGCCTCAAAGCCAGGAAGATCTGAGTTCAAGTCCCTTCTGAGATATTTTGGCTGTTTAACCTTGGGCAAATCATTCAATCCCTCAATGCTCTAGGCAGTTCTAAGACCATAAGTTGCAGAGAAGGTGTTTGTTTACCTTTATTGGTAAAGAAGATTTTCTCACCTGAGACTTCCCTACATCAAGGAAATCGTAGGTCCAGGCTCTATCCTTATTAATTGACACAACTTTCACTACCACAGAAACTGATGATCTGCTCTATACCTCATAATCTTTTGGCATGAGGATCCTTGCAAATAAGAAAAAAAATTCTTACTTTAAGCGCTGATGTTTAAAAAGTTTGAGAGACACAGTTTCTGGGTAATGGATCATTTATTAATAATGCTATTATTTTATTAATAAAAAGAATGGTCATTTGGCCATCCCTCTTTGACCAAAGAGGACTCTTGGCAGTGGGCTCACAGTTTGCATGCCTTTGGAAGAGTGAGTATTCCTGAGGATGGCAGTCAACTCTGATTAGTTAACAATTAATGAGACAATTAATATTACAATGAGAGGTGGACCCACTCCAGGGATGGGTTGGGGGAATGCAACTTTGATTATGTCATTTACTTCTAAATTGCTCAGTCTAGGGCAATCTAATCAAATAATTAATCCCCACCCAAACCTGAGTAGGACACAATGGGCAGTAATTCCCAACATAAGATGGTCTCGGTGGGGTAAATTCTTGGCAGAGGTCAGTAATGTCCTTCAAAGGCTGGGCTTTGAAGAAGGAATTGAGGACTTTAGAAATGCTCTCTCCAAATCATTGGTTATTAATAGTCATTTCTCTTGAACCAAATGAATAACAATGGTAACTAGAAACCAAACCCAGGCATTTTTTAATGGGCCAGGTAGAAACATGAGAAGAATTTTAAGGATAAAAACAAAAGTCAAGGAAGAGAGTGAAGAGCGACCATGAGCAAGCCAAGCGCCACAAACAGGTCATGTAGGCAAAATCATAAAGAGCATTGTGAAAGGATCCAGAGGATTTCTAAAAATAAGCAAAGATCATTAAGTGACATTAGAGAAATATGCACGACAGAGACCTTCTGTGATTTATTAGTAAGCAATTGCTGGGATGTCTTTGTCTAGTGTTCTTCTGAGGTTCCATCTGTGTGTTTTATCTTCCTGAGGGCAGAGGCCAATGTTTGCTTTGTTTCCTTCCCTACAAAGGGCAGGGGTTTCTCTATAAATATAGTTGACTCATCAACATTTTTCTGTGAAGGAGAATGTCAAAGAATAATAAAAGCATTAAAAGACAGCTGCTTTTGCAATCAAAAACTATTATGGAAATTATAATTAATGAAGTTTTCCAATGAATGAAAATGATCAAATAAAGAAGGTAAACATGGTTATATATATAAAATTGTTATGTGTAAAACAAACCCCTTGATATTTTTTAGTCGTAAGTGTACATAAATTTGAACTGTTCTTTCTAGAGCAGAGTTTCTTGCTTGGTTCTATTTTGGGCTAAGCTTCTAGACAATTCCCCTCTTTTTCTCTATCAGTATACTCAGACTCTCCTCATTTCTTCCTATCAGAGTTCTCAGCCCCTCAATGTTCTGGTCGGTTAGTTGTGTCTGAAATCCTGAAACCACAATGCAGTAGAACTTTATTTCCTGGAATATATCTTTTTCTGGGAGCCCAGTATTCAGTGTCATGTTTCAAGGACAGTGTGCTTGCTGACTTAGCTTGAGATGACTTCCATTAAGATGCTATCACCTCTGTCTGTACAAGGGTATATTTATTCTAACATCAGAGCTGCCCACTACAAACCAGGTCCCAATATGACATTAACTGATATGTGTTTATAACCCTTCACCTTCCTCACAAAGTGTGGGCAATAGGTTTTAAGAACTCTTCAACTCCTGACGTCGGGAAGTTCACAGTTCTAATTATTTTCATCTAACTGTTATCAGGGTGTCTAAAAGACTATAATTTTATAGTTTTAATTTTTTTCTCTATTAAGAAAAGGAATAAAAATTCTAAATATTTAAAATATAAATATTTCTGTCTATGGGGAGAAAAACCTTTTACTATGATTCTTTTGGGTTGTACATATCAAGTGGCATGGAATAGTTAGTTGCACTTGTTTTGGAGAGAAAACGGTACTAGATACACGTGATAAAAGTGTGGGCTGTAGGATTGAAATGAGCTAAGCCTCTTGTTTACTGTTCTGCACTCCTAGATGACTAAGAATGGTACCGTGGAATCCGAAGAAGCCAGCACTCTTACATTAGATGACATTTCAGATGATGATATTGATTTAGACAACACAGAGGTAGACGAATACTTCTTCCTGCAACCCCTGCCAACAAAGAAACGAAGGGCGCTGCTTCGAGCCTCCGGAGTGAAAAAGATTGATGTGGAAGAAAAACATGAGCTGCGGGCCATCCGCCTATCAAGAGAGGATTGTGGCTGTGACTGTAGAGTATTCTGTGATCCGGAAACTTGTACTTGCAGCCTTGCGGGCATCAAGTGCCAGGTAAAGATCTGTGCAACAGGGATTTGGAAGTAAAGAGATTAGAAACCCACCACTAAACAGGCTTATATCGTGTGTAACAAATTGCCAAATGTAGAAGGGACTGGCACCAATAGACACCCAAGGGCAGGGACTCGGGTGTGAAGGTGATAGATGAGATTAATTGAAAGGCAAACATAATAACCGTGGACACCTAGGAAACATATTTATATGGAATGTGGCTCTAAATGTGCAATATGACATGTGGAAAAGTTTGGAGTACAGTTGCTACTTGGCAGGTATTTATGCATAGGCTGAATTATAATTTATAGCACCTAAGAATTTCTCTTGGCATCTAAACAGGTAGCCTGAGAGAAGATAATGGCAATCCCAATCCTTTAAGTTTCTAAAAAACATGAGACAGCATGGTGTAGGGAATACAGGGTTAGCTAGACTTGGGCTGGAATTCTGCCTCAGATACCTCCTAGCAATGACCTAGACAAGTTGTTTAACCTGTGTGGGCCTCCATTTCCTCATCTGTAAAATAAGAGTGCTTACCTATGATCTTTTAAGCTTCTGATTCTGCTATTAATGTGTCTGGTTGCCTAACCTTCCACGTAGTATGCAAGTGATATTTAATTAAAGCCAGTGAATTTAATGGAAGGAATACTGGACTAGGGGTCAACAAACCTGAATTTTGATTCAATCTCTGTTATTATGTATATGACCTAGAATTTGGTCCTTTCATTGTTAAAAAAAAAAAAAAGAACATTGGACTAGATGCCATCCAGCTCTGTCCCTCTCTGTTACTTTCTGTGACTATTTAACTCTTAATTTCCCAAGGAGCCTTGCCTTCCCCAATAAGGAAGCTTACCCCTGCAATAATGTGAGGGTAGTTGCTGTACTCTGAGCCTGTTTCCCTACTTAATCAATAAAAGATGACCCTTAATGCTGCCTGAGGAGTAGAGAGAAGGAGAAATGCAGATGGGGGGGTAGGGGGAAATGGGCAATGTAAACAGATTTACTGGTAGAAGTTATTTTGTTTTTTGCTGTAGCAGAATGACAGCATAGGAACTGGTTGCCCTTCTTTTCTCCCAAAAGAACTAAAAAAGTCTCCCACTGCCATGGCTCCTATCCCCTTATCCCACCACAAGTGAAGTAATGACAACCAGGGCCACATGTCCTCATTTCTTCTGCTCTCTGGAAAGCTGATGTGAAATATGGAACCTTATTAATAAATATCCACTGAGTTCCTGGGCCCCAATTTACTCATCTGTGAAATAGGGGCATTAGATTAACTGGCCTGTGAAGACCCTTGCAGCTTTAGGTCTATGATCAGTGACATGGAGAAACAAGAAAAAAATTAAAAAGAGGAGCTATACAACCATATGAAGTCTTAGACCTTGAAGAGTTGAACTGTGTCATTTGATGTTTGAGCACTTAACAGTATACTGATGACTGTCCAAAAACCTTGGGGAGTTAATAAAGTTGAAAAATCCTTGGCTTTGAGAAGCTTTGCAATGTAATATAAGGGTCAAATGGTAGAGAGAGAAAACAAAAACAAAGAAATATATGGGATGGGAACATGAATATACACAACCACAAGTAGAACTATGTAGATACACACAAGGGCTGAGGATGTAGAAATGGAAGAAGAAAACCAAGGGAAGATTATTGGAGTGAATGGCATCAAGTGGTGTTAATCTGGAGTGTTTCTTGAGTCAAGATACAGAGGAAGGGAAAAAGAGAGGCGTATGTACCAAACAAGGGGGCTGGCATGTTACGATGAGTCAGAAGAGTGAGAAAGACTGTACTGCGGGAGGGGGGAAGAGCACTTAGAGAAAGGATGGGAAGCAGTGAGGATGTAGGAAGGATGGTATGGAAACATTAGAAGCAAAGTAGGTACCTGTTGTTTGGGATCTGGTTAACCAAGCTGATAGATATTTAATGGAACGTTATAAGAAATTACAAAAAGGAAGAAAAACAATGCAAAATGGAATAAGCAGAATCAGAGGAACAATACACAGGACTACAATAATGTAAATGGAAAAAATACTGAAAAGGAAGACAAATGCTGAGTCTTGACCTTGATTCCAAAGAACGGATGATGGAACATATTTTTATCTCCTCTAAGCAGAAATTAACTATTCCTAAGATTGTAAGTAGTTTTCATTTTAGAGAAAGCCATGAATTTGGAAGTAATTGCTATTAAAATAAAAAAACTGATTTCATTCACTTTTTAAAAATTGAGTTCTAGTTTGCTAATCACCTGCTAATCATTTAAATTCCCTGAATCAAGACTCCCGCTCAGTCATTGAAAAGACCCAAGGAGTTGTTGTTTTACTTGTCATGTTTTCATAATATGTTCTCTGTCTCTGTCTCTGTCTCTCTCTCTCTCTCTCTCTCTCTCTCTCTGTCTCTCTCTCTCTCTCTCTTTCTCTCTCTTCTTAAGGTGGATCGGATGTCTTTCCCATGTGGTTGCACTAAAGAGGGATGTAGTAATACAGCAGGTAGGATTGAATTTAATCCTATCCGAGTCCGGACTCACTTTTTGCACACAATAATGAAACTCGAACTGGAGAAAAACCGAGAGCAGCAAATTCCCACGTTGAATGGCTGCCACAGTGAGATAAATGCTCACACTAGTTCTATGAGCCCTTCTGGCCACCCTGTGGAATATTCTATTGCAGAGAATTTTGAGATTGAAACAGAACCCCAAACAACAGTGATGCATTTGCAGTCTGCAGAGGAGTTAGATTGCCAGGGGGAAGATGAAGAAGAGGAGGAAGACGGGAGTAGCTTTTGTAGTGGAGTTACAGATTCCAGCACACAAAGCCTAGCACCAAGTGAATCAGATGAAGAGGAAGAGGAGGAAGAAGAAGAGGAGGAAGATGAGGAAGATGAGAAAGGAGATCATTTTGTGGAAGGTCTGGGCACCCATGCCGAAGTTGTGCCTCTTCCCTCAGTTCTCTGCTACTCCGACGGCACTACAGTACATGAAAGCCACTCTAAAAATGCCTCTTTTTACACTAGCTCCTCAACTTTATATTACCAAATAGACAACCATGCCCCAGGCGCCACGAATCAAATTCCTGAGAACTATTCTGAAAGAGATACTGTTAAAAATGGTACCCTTTCTCTGGTGCCTTACAGCATAACATCAGAGCAGTTTGTTGACTATGCCCGACAAACAGAAGAGAGCTATGGTAGCTCCCATTACCCATCTGCAAACCCCTCTGTAATAGTCTGCTGCTCTTCGTCAGAAAATGATAGCCATGTGCCATGTACTAGCTTATATCCTGAACACAGGCCAAACCACCCGCAGGTGGAATTTCACTCTTATTTGAAAGGTCCCTCGCCTGAGAGATATGTTTCTGCTTTGAATGGCGACAGTCACATAGTTGAGCATCCTGCTGAAAATTCCTTAAGCCTCTCGGAAAAGAGCAGATTGCACGAAGAATGCATCAAGTCATCCGTGATTGAGACCGTCCCTGTGTAGTAGGTTAAGTTGTCCCAAAACCACCTTCCTATATTTAAATGCACTGTAATTTAATTGGATTTCCTAGACTCAGCATTGTTTTAAACTGTGGACCAAGAAAACTTGGACTGTGGTTAACGTTCCAGATGCTTTTGTGTCTTCTTTCTAGCTTTTGGGACAGTGGCATTGCACAAATACAAGTTCATACAAGGATTTTGAAATAAATCAGACGTTTTTGATAAAAAAAAAAAGCTAAATTTAAAAATGCATATTTCAGTCACTGACCCGTCAAACTCTGTGATACCTGCCAACCTGTATAGATCAAAGCTCCAAGTTTTTTGATTATCGGGCCTGTGCAAGATTACTAACTAATAACTTGGAAATGATCAGATTTAGAGTCCTAATTTGCAATCTATCTGAAGTTGATGGTGACTTTTTAATGTAAAAGTAATTATTGTAAGAAAAAGATTTAATTGTTCATATGTATTTTATTTATGGTAGTTTAGCAGATCATGTTTTGATGGAAATTAATGTATGTTCATTTAAACTTAAGAGCCACACCAGAGCATGCCCACATGGATTGCATCTAGCATTCCATCTGCATTTTTATGAACATTACTAATACGATCTGCAGATACTTTCTTAAAGGTGAACTAGGCCTATTTTTGCTATTTTGAACAAATAAATGAATCTATTTGTGCAGGTCCATACACAATTTTCTCTAAAGGTAAGGGTTAGGACAATCCTCCTGCTAGGGTCTGGATCAGTGCCTTCCCACAATTAGTTCCAGGGAAGGAGGTAAAAGGAATCGCCATTTTAGAAACAAAAACAATAAAAATGGCACTGTCTTTGTTCTTAGCTTGTCTAGTAGCACCTTTGAGCCCTGTGCCCCCACGTGGAAATGCACTTTAGTGCCCTTGGCAGTACCTGCTAAGGTGTAGGGACTGTGAAAATTTTAGGGGGTTAGGGGCTGGGGTAGAAAGCTGTAATTATCATGGGGTTTATATGATACAGTAGTCTTAAAATAATATTTTTTGTGAAAGAACAAATAAAGGTTTTCCTCAACCAGTTTGAGAATCTAAATCAGAGGTCAATAAGAGCGGAGTTATAATGCTGTCAGGTTATAAGAAGCATGAAATGGACATGGATGGAGCAAGCAGACTTTTTTTCTATAAAAAGACCAATCTTTGCAAACTAGATGTATAGAGAGATTTCAATTTTGTAATTAACAGTTTGACTAGGGGCCATCACCCAAATATTCAACTAGGCCTTAAGTTTCTGAAGCATTATGAATTTCTCTTGCCTGGAACAATTAGCAGGAAAATCCAGAATGCATTATTTGCATTCTCATTACCTCATGTTCCCTTAACTTATTAAAGGAACAGACACATGGAATCTAAAACATGCACTCCTGGCCTTTAGATTATCTGTACTTGGTTTGCTGGAGAAGGATTTCTAGGATCACATTTTTTCTGTAAATTGACTTAGGTAACTAAATAGCGTGCACTACCTTTCTTTCAATGCAATATGACACTTCACCTGTTTCAGTATTTTGTCCTATTGATATGAAGTATCATATGTTGTATGTCAGTTTAAAATGTAGATTTGCCTTGCTGTTCAATGACTGCATTGCTTCTTAATTTTTATGTCTTTCAGACTTAGGTGTTTAAGGATATGGATTTAAGCATATTGTAGAATTTCGACTGTAGATTTCATTCAGTAGCTCTCAAATATGCTTGAATTTCAATGAAAAACCCTTGCTAAAACTTGGTAGGGAAGGGAAGGATTAGGCAATTTGTTCACTTGGCAGCTAGTTCTTTGATAATCAAATTATTTCTCCCTCTTCCCCCCTCATTGCACATACCCTGGCCTAAACAGGTAGGCATTTCTCTCACTGTCAAAGGACCTCTGGATTTCTTTCCCAGACAGGGAAGTCATGTGGGCTAGTAATATCTCTTTAATAATCAACCGAAACCATTAGACTTCCTACTTTTATGATGTCCATTAAATATATTTGGTGAAGTTTCAGTTCATAGTGACTGATACCTTTGTTTTCTCTCTATTGTAAGAATCTAAAGAGTGCAGATCCCAGGAGAAAATGAAAAGGGTCCCTCAAAGCCAAGGGTCCCTCAAAACTCAGTATAGAAAAGAAGCATATTTAATGTATTTGTGGGATCGTTGAATACACTTTTTAATCTCAAAAAAAAAATCTTGAAATATCCACAGTACAGCAACCTAGGACTTGTCTTTTGAAAGATCCATAGAGGAGATCTGTGATCTGTGACAGGGTTGAATGACAAAAGAAGGTTTGGCTTCTCACCTGAGAGCTATTTATAGGACCATTTGATTTATGAGAGTTAACTTTCTGAGGCAGCAACCACATCTGATGATTTTACCCTCATCAAGGATATGGCTTCTTCTATCTTTGAGCTTTGCTTCCAGAGTGATCCCTAACCCAGCAGCTGCTTATTCTCATAGGTAATCAGGGGAGAGAATGCAGTGACCTTGCATATAGGCAAGAGAATGATCCCTTCCTATTCTCCAACAGATTTTCCATATTTTCACTGTCCATCCTCACTCTACTCCATATCCTTTCCTAAAAACAAACAAATCCAACAACATAGACTAGCAGCTTCCTGACACTTTCTTCCTTTTCCTCCCTCAAAGGGTGTACCAGGTGTCAGATATATGACTAGTAATATGCAGAGGCATACTTTCCCTTTAAATTCTAATTGGTCTGAAAAACAGAGTAATTTTTTTATATGGATTCATATTTTTGGAAATGATCAAAGATATGTATATATGTAGAGAGAGATGGTTATATATACAGATATACATGCATATATCTATAAATGACATACAGATACATATGCATATATATTTATACATATACATATGCATATATATAAACAAACATGCATGTATATCTGTACATAATATTCTCTCTATATATGTATGTGTGTGTATCATTGGTTCTATTTCTGTGTCACTCTTTTTCTGAGTAAAATTAATAGAGCACAAAATTCCCACTGCCTTTTCCCACCATCAGTAATTCTTTTATTCAACAATAACTGCCCGCATGCCAAGAAAGTTAACTACTTCTTCAGAAATTTAAAAAGGGGGGATGGGGTCAAGAAGGAGCCAGCCAATTGGGATATATTTGTAAGATCCTTAGTCCTGAGACTCAATAACCTGACCAGCACCTGTTGTATTGCCTCTACAACTATTGTTCAGTCTTTTTCGGTCATATCCTACTCTTCCTACTGAACCAAATTATAGTCCCCTTTGCCACAGAGTCTTTTAGTCATTCAACCCATTGGAAAAGTTTCTCCAGACCTTATTTTACTTCCAACCCTGTGCCTTTTACGTCTCAGTCACTATTGAGACTGAATTGATTTGCAAGTCAAGTGGTTGAAGCAACTTTGTATTTGGTGGTTCCCAGGGAAGGAAAATATTATTGTCCTGTTTTATTTTTTCTTCATTTTATCTCTTGACCATTGAGATATAAGTAAAATCAGTCTATCTCCTATATCCTGTTAGATAAGTAAGAAACCAGTCATTTTATCTTGGTTAAAGAAACCACCTCTTCCCTGCAGACTAGCCACAGATAGGAGGAAAGTACCTGAAATAGAAAGTCCCCACTACCAAATGTGACCCAAGAATCCTTGCCTGTATTTTAAAGTATCACTGTTCATTAGAACATACATAAATCAAGAGATGAAGAAATTGTGTTTAGTTATTGAGCTGTTAAAATAATCTACCTTCAATACCATACCTGGGCCCAATTCCAGTTTGTCAGTCAACAAGCATTTATTAAATGTTTACTAGGTGTCAGGAATTGTCCTCAAAATTGGAGGTACAAAGAAAGGCCACAATAAAAAGTCCCTCCCTATCTTCAAGGAACATCCAAGATATATACAGAATATATGGAGGATAATCTGAAAGGGGAAGTAGAGCATTAACAGCTAAGGGTGGAGGAGGAAGTCTATTTCAGATGAATTTTGAAGGAAATCAGAGGACAAAAAGTCCTCTTCGTTCAGAGCTTCAGGTTTTGAAGGGACACACCCTTTGCTTTTATGTTTTGTTGTTGTTCAGTTGTTTTAGTCCTGTCCAACTCTTTGTGATCCCATTTGGGGTTTTCTTGGCAGAGATACTGGAGTGGTTTGCCATTTCCTTCTGCAACTCATTTTACAGATGAGGAAACTGAGGCAAACAGGGTTAAATGACTTGCCCAGGGTCACACAGCTAGTAAAAGTCTAAGGCCAGATTTGAACTCACAAATGACTCCAGGCCCTGCATTCTATCCACTGTGCCACCTAACTACCCTTTTCTTATGTTTTAAAGAGATGAAAATATTAAATCTGACCTGGAAGACTAAGGATGTCTTCTATACAATTTACTACCTGGTGTTGCTATCTAGTATTAAATGTTGAGAAGATTTGCACAGTTTGTTTCTGGGGGAAATTTGAGGTAGAAAAATGCCATGAGGTTTATCGTACAGGTTTTTTTTTCATTATAGCATTATCATTTTAATAATTTTTTGAAATGTGTTCTAATGAACATTTTCCTTAAATTCTATGCATATCCTAAATCTAGGGTACAAGTACAGAGAATCACCCTTCTCCTCTCCCTTTGGGGGAAGTTTCTTGAATCAAATCTGGCCTCATAGAGAAGGCTTAGAACAGGTGAAATGAAAACCCATAAAGGAAGAAGAAGCTATTTATACCAGGCTGTTACTTTAATGTTAGATCTATATGTGATACTAAATACAGACAAACCTCTACTAAACTGTCACAAATGGACGCTGAGTCACACATGGCAAAAACCAAGGAAAAGTTCCAGGAAATGTCAGAAACAGCTTACAACACTTTTAAAACATGTTGCTTATATAGAGCTCACTAAAGGTTAACAAAACCCTTGTTGTTTTGCACTCTCCCCTTTGGCACCTACAGAAAGGTGCATTAACCGGTGGCAGAAGGCACATCTGCAGGGACTGTAACCCCTGAAGCCTACCTTTTATGAATTACAGAAAAGCTTCCCTCAATCCACTGGGAATGCTTGTGTCTCCTAAAAACAGCATTATGCTACTGGCAACCTAAGATGTCTAATGGTCAGGGTGTTCTTAATCATTGGACTGTTTTATTGACCCTAGAAGCAATTCTAATCTTAAATAAGTTGTAGGCATCAAGAACTCATGCTGGGAATGCTTTCTAGGCACTTGGAATGGATCTAAAGGCTGTATTTTTTTTTTTTTGGTGAGGCAATTGGGGTTATGTGACTTGCCCAAAGTCACACAGCTAGTAAGTGTTATATGTCTGAGACCAAATTTGAACTCAGGTCCTCCTGACTTCCAGGGCCAGTGCTCTATCCACTGCACCACCAAGCTGCCCCTAAAGACCGTATTCTTAATCAGTCCCAAGAAAAGCCTGGACCCCTGGAAATTCTATTACAATTCTACAAGATTCTTTTTTTTTTTTTTTGCAAGGATAGACGTTGTAAATCCCACATTCCAAATCATCCAGTTGTTTGCAAACAAAATGGCTACTCTGGTCAGATGCTTTTTTTTTTTTACATTGAAAGGGGTTTAATTGGTTTTACTGAGCAGGAAAAACAATGTTAGAAATTTGAAAAAAAACTATTAAAATTAGTAAAACAGTGCCTTGGGTGAAGAAAAAAATATCTTGCCCAGCTGTAATCTATTAAGAGTCATAAAAAGAGCTTGGCAAAGGCGTGGTGGGCTTGACTCTTGTTCTGCACCTTAAAGCCAGGTCATGAAGGACTGAAACCAATATGCAGAAGTGGTTCATTAAAAAGGCTGATATCAGAATCACAGAATGTTAGAGATAGAAGGATTCTCGGGGTTCATCTAGTCCAATTACTCAGAACCTGGAGTTTCACATCTGCTTTTGAGAAACCATCTCCTTTATTTCCTGCTAGTCACAAATCATTTGATGATCAATTTTAAAACATCAGAAAGATTATGACCCGGTGTTTAAATGGTTATTGAATGGCTAGTGAGGTTAAACATATTAGCATGTGGAAATTTTTTAGAGTGTTTCCTTCACATTTTGCCTACTGATTCTCCAACACTTTGTGTAGAGACACAAAGTTTTGTAGAGACACCCAAGTAATTGGCAATTGTGATGAATGTAAATATTTTTCTCAATAGGCTGTGCTCAAGGATTCCATGTGGCCTGGGTTTTATTTAGTGTTAGGCACCCTTTCACTGGTCTAAACTTCTGTTTGTGTGAGCAAATACTTAACTGTTCTTTTGCTGGTTTTTTTTTCCACTCTGAGAGTAAAGAGGCCTTATTGGGCAGAATCATAGAGGGCAAGAAGGTGCGTGCCTCAAAACAGGGTCCAAATCACGGGCAAGTTTGAATTTCTTTGCTGTTGGGAGGGGGGAGATACAGATTAGAAAATCTAGACTATGAGGCAATTAAAAGAGCTTAAGTCACTTTTGATTACTCATTTTACTAGTGGCAACTAAAGGTCACCAACAACTACAGGGTAATTATTTTTATTAGGTAGTTTAAACTTCCTTGTAATTCAATAAAACACATATTTTGTGGGATCATTTTCTTTCATCTCCAGTAAAAATGCTGGTGGAAATAAAGAGGCAAATGAATGGTAATTAAATTCATATTTGATATTCAGTGTACTAATTATATAATTCCTTTCTTCAATCACTTTATCCTTGTGATGATAGGGTAGTTAGTGAGATAGCAAATATTTAAGGGTGGATGTGAGGCTTTTAAAATAATTTAAGAATCAAAAGTGAATTAGAAGAAACCAAGAGAACATAGATTTGTGATGGATATAGGCTGAGAGTTGATTTTGGTTGTATGTAATTAATTCTAATTTGAGAAGAGATTCTTTGTTGGGTCTCTTTTTCCCCCCTTTTCCTTTCTTTGGATTCCTCCCAATCTGCTTATCTGGCCTGGGATTATCTGGAATTATTTATTAATGAGTGTACAGAAGAAAACTGGTAATCACTTGGCCAATTTAGAAAATTTGGGTTATACTGCATCACCCAGTAAGACAGCAGGCCACCTTGTCAGCCTTGTGGAATTTTAAAGCAGGAAAGGACCTTTAAAGATTTAGTTCAAACCCCTCAGTTTACTGATGAGGAAACTGAAGTTCACAGGGGTTAAATGACTTGTCCATTGCCATAAAGCTAATTACTGTCAGATGCAGTATCCAGAACTAGTTTTCTTTGCAAATCCCCTGACTTCCCCCCCTAAACCGGGTTTCCTCCATATTGCTGGAGCCATTCAAAGGAAGGACCTTACTATCTTTGGTCTTGTATGTACCATTCACGGTGTCAGGTTTTAGAGCTTGGTAACCCAGGTTTGAATCTTTGAGTTCTACCTTGGTTAAATCTCTTCACTACTCTGAGCCTGTTTCCTCATTTGCTAAATGAGGATAATAATACTTGAACTACCACCTACCTCATGGGGGGGTGCTGAGGAAAATGTTTTGCGAACTTTAAATTGCTATATAAATTGTTATTATTTACCATCACTACTATCACCCTTTGCCTTTGTTTAGTGGCACTGGCTCTTTTCCATCCTAGCCTGCAAATTTTGCCCATGTAGCCATCAATAAAGATACTGAATCTTTTAGAACAAAAATTCGGTGTAACACTGTCCTTTGGGTTTAAGTCCCACTCACAGCCCTGGTTTTTTGGTTGCTTTTTATTTCCACATAGAAAAAATGAGGAGAAAATATGCAAGTATAACCAAAAACTACATTTTCCTTAAAGGGGAAAAAAACCTTGTATCATTAGATGTGAGAAATTAATTGCCTGATTTAAGACAAGAACAGTTTAAGCTTCAGTAACCAAGCAG